GAAATATTAGTCTTATGTCCTTTGATAAGAAGCTGTTTGTGGTCATCAGTTCAGAAGACTAACTATTTTCTTGATTTAGAAATTCACAATTCTCGTTGGCATGTTCATAGCTTTTTGGTTAATAAATATCTCTATATTTATTTAACCCACCATTCTCCAGACCAATTTGATCCAAGAATCCTCCTGTTACAATGTTTTAACAGTCTCAGTAGGTGTTGATGATGGTAGAACAGCTGTTGATGATTACATTACCTGCAATCTGCCAATTTTCATCATTTCTTATTTGTGCCAACAAGCAGAGTAATTGCTTTCTGGGCTGTTGGGATCCCAGTCTCTTCGGTACGTGAGATGCCGTTTCTGCTGGACTGATAGAAAGCTAATAGAGGACGTGGATTAAGAGCTCAGTTTAGAGGCAGTCTTTAACTCAAATCCCTATGTTTCAGTTTTAGTATCTGTAAAAGGACCTTAATGTAAGTATCCACTATCCAAGATGGTGAAGAAATTGACATACATAAAACACTTCACACAGGTTTAGAGATAGTAAGTGCTCAAAAATGTTAGTAACGTGGCTGTAGAATTAATAGCAGTAGTAATAGCAGGCGATTGTCAAATTAATAGTAATAATAGTAGCAACAGTACTAGGAGTTGTAGCAGCAGCTGTAGTAATAGTAGTAGCCGTGGTAGTAGTGGTGATGGTAATATTAACGGTGGTACCAGTAACACTTAGTATATTAGTGTAGTGTAATAACATCCTCACACCTTCAGAAGTTACACAATTAATTTACCTTTGAAATTAAACCAAAATCCAATTGATTTAAGAATTTTGAGATGGCTTATAAAACAATTAAAGCACAGCAGCAAATCTCTACTTGTAGTTCACACGACTCTGGGGTCTGGTAAGAGCCAGACAGGCTAGGTATTTTGACTTAGGGGAAGCACTTGCCTCGTAAATTGAAGAGCCCCATCCTGAGGCAATGCAGCCATGGGTCAGGGAAATTTGAGGAGAGAGCTGGGCATTTATTTCACACTCTCAAAATCTTCAGGCAGTTTGTAGCCAGTGAGCAGAGTCGTGGTGACCCACATGGGATTGCATAAGAGAATAGCATGCCACAAACAGGACAGACCTGATTTATTTATTAACATTTGGGAACCGTTTATAGAAGTTGTGTCCATTTATAGCTAGTGCTTGGGGCTGAGGAAGGAGATGGTTTATCTACAGTCTTCCCTCTGCTGAATGAAGGTGGGATGGAAAAATGAATGGATCCAAGAAAAAAGTGCTTCCTCTTACCATAAGGACTTTCTATAAATGTCTCAAGCTTTAAACATTTCTTTTACATGTGTTTTATGTGCTGTTTTGAAAAGAATAAAATTGAAAAGCCATTTATCTTTGTCTTGAACAATATTTATTAGGTATCAGGCAGAAAAAAAAGTCACACAGTTTATTCGTGGAAGTATATTAATAGCTAATGCTTAATAAGCATTTACCATGGATTATGTTATTTCGTTTCTTTCAACAATCCTATAAAGTAGGGACGTTTATCATCCCATGTTTACAGATTAAGTGATGATGCCCAGGGTTTGACTTGCCCAGTGTTAGGGAGGAAAAAATTGTCTTGGTGCCTTCCTAGGTTCTCCAGCTGCAGCCCTGTAAATTGGACTGCCAAAAGACAGATTCACGAACCACAAAAGAAAAGCCTACAAATTATTACTTAATACAAGGTTTGCATGACACAGGATTCTTCCTAAGGAAATGAAGACCTCAAGAAATGTTAAACTTCAGCATTTGTACACTACGTTTGAGGAAGAGTGGGAAGTCATGGGGAAATGTGACAGGACAGAAGGATATGAGCAAAGGTAGTAAACTAGGAGAAGCTGAGCATGGCCTGCTTGTTTGGACTCATCTTGCTCCCTCTGTTTTCAGACATGAGGATGCTTCTCCCGCACGAAGATCTTATTACCTACTTCTGGTATGGAGAGAGGGGTCAGAGAGAACTTCCTGCACCTGCTCTTTCTCAAATTCCTTCAGCTGAAAATATGCCCTCTGCCAAGGTGCCATATTTTGGGGTAGCCTGTTCTGAACCTCATCAGTGCAGAGTTGCTGAAGGTCTCTGAGCCTGCTGTGTGACATGAGTGGCTTGCAATAGCGCCATGATTCTCATACTCATGTGTACATCAGAATCACCTGGAGAGCTTTCAAAAAATACAGATTCCTGGACCCAAATCCGAGAATACTGATTTAGTCACTTCCGAGGGGTGGAAGTCCCTTGTACTTAGTAAGCCTCTGCCAGACATTCTGATCTGTGATGCCCTTTCTGCCTCTAAATGTCAATCGACTCTCCTACAGCTTGTTACTATCCCTTGACATCAGGGCTGGATTCTGATGTGAGCAGCTTGCTGACGTGGCAGAAGCAGAACATCATTAAAAGAAAGCACAAGTAAATCATCTGTACGTCCGATGAGGCTAATTACACCAGCCAAACCCTCCCTGTCAGCATATGGACAAAATGCACGGTGGAGGCAGCTGGCAGAGATGCACCCACTTCTTAAACACATTCAGCAAGATGGAAGTGAGCCGGTGCAGCGCTCCTTACAGAAATTGCTAAGTCTGCGTGATCATCAAAAACATTTGGTCACCGGAATAGAGCTTGAACGTGAAAGCTTTCAAGCAACAATTCAGATCGTTTTCTCGGGATAGCTTCATATTTACATGCAAATGGTGGGTTTTTTTTCAATTTTCTTCATACACAATTCCATCTAAAAGCCTGTTGAGTTTCTTTCTGTAAGAGCAACAAGATTTTTTGAAAAACTCTTTGGTGATTGCCGTTAATATAATGATTTCTATTGTGGAAGTGGTTTTTACAGTGTATTATATTTTACAGTGGGCCTTGGTTTTCTTTAAATGTTTCTGTGATTATCCATGAAAATAGGAGACGAGTAATATTTGACATTAATGGAAGGTTTACTCTGTGCCATGCACCATCCTACTTAATTTATATACCTGTATCTGTATTATCAGTGTCTATCTCTACACTTGTTTAGTTCTCTCAATAATTGCATATGATAAATATTACTTTCAGATCTCTTTTATATGATAAGGAATCTGGGCTAAGTAAGTTGCCCAATATCACATAGTTACTAAGGAGTAGAGCTGGCATGTGAATCCAGCAGACTGAGTCCAGATCCTCCACTTTGATATTTAGATCAGTATTTCCCAAAGTATGAATTTTGGAAAGTACTTGCACAGGGTATTAGTGATTTTTAAAAGAAAAAAGAAAGCATGAATTAACTCAGTTAGTTTGGGGAGTATTGGGCTAAACAAATAGGTTTCTTTTGCACATGATTTTTCAGAATCTCAAAAAGCTCACGTACTTTAGAAATCTCTAAAAGACAAATGCAGAATATAACATTTCCAAACCTCTGAGGCCAACAGGAAGTTGCCACAATGCATCTGTGTTCTTTACTTTAAAAATGATCGTTCCAGTAAACTGGTAATTCCTTTCTGGGGAATAATTTAGCCATATACATTGAAAAGCCTCTCAATCTTGGGGTGTTCAAAATAAACCACTGGGGTGGGGAAGAAAATATTAGAACATCTATTTAAAATTTCTCACATTTAATTTTGTGTGTTTATGTTTTGTTATATAGATGTTACGTAAATGTATATATAAATTCATTTATATTGATATTATAAATACATATTTAAGTGTATATTGTTTGATCATATATTATACATAATTATAAATTATGTATAATTTTAGAATAGTAACATGTATATAAGCTGCAAATAATTTAATAGGTATGTACTGGGGATGGGCTGCACCAATACTGAGTGGCTTACTTAGCCACTCATAAGAAAAGCCTTCAATTTCTTCATATTCTTTGACCCAGGAATTTCACTCCTTGGAATGTATTCAGCTTATCCTAAAGAAATAATAACCTTGCATGTGTATAAATACTTAACTACAGGGGGTATTTATTTGAAGAAACACTTATACTTGTGAGCATTGAAAACAGTCCAAATATCCAACAACTGGAGATTGGTTACATTCATTATGATACTTCCATATAAAGAATCTTAACAGGGAGCTACTGAAAATTATGTAGTGGTAGGATACACTAGAGTCTAGGGGAAAAAAGTCATGATTTTGTAAAACACAGATGACAAAAGAGTTCCTATGCCTGGAAGAAAGGATTGACTGGAATGACAAATCAAAATGTTAATAGTGGTAGCTCTTGGTGGTGTGAGAAGGGGCAAGTTTTATTTTCTTTATGCTTCCTTGTGTTTTCCTAAGTCTTGTACAGTAAATGTGCATTTTTGAGTAAGCATTATATTCGTAAGCTTCAAAATTTGGTGGGTTATAGAAGGGTGTGCAGTAACAGTCTTTGTGGTTCTGTCTCCCAGACAATGCCTTCCTGTCTCCAGCAGCATCCATCGGTTTTTTTTTTTAACATTTTTTTATTGATTTATAATCATTTTACAATGTGTTATTTCTTTCTGTGTATCTTTCCAAGGATGTGTTGATAAAATTTGCATATATACATGTATTCTTTTTACCCTTTATGACACAGACAACAGCATATAATACACACTGTTTTGTAGTTTGCTATATTGAATAAACTGGCACAAGTGTCGTTTCATCCCTGTGGATTCATTCCCAAGAGTGGAATTGTAGGTCAAAGAAAATGTACATTTGTCACTTGGATAAATATTGCCATCTTGTCCTCTAAAGTTATGAAAAAAATCTTTTCATACTTTCTTACAGTACTTTAATGGTTTGAATGTTTTTTTTTAACATTTTAATTTAAATCCATTTAAATTTTTATCCTGACTTCATGGGTACTTAATAAAGAAAATAAATGATCTGAAATATTGAACTCCTCACTCATAGTGGAAATTCAAGTGCTGGTTGTCCTCATCTGTTTAGATCACAGGATCTAGATGCAAATAAGGACGGCTTGGAAAGGTTCAGCTTACATGGCGGGTGAGTAACATAGCCAGACCTCTGCTCGGCTGTATGCGGGTTTATTTGCTTCCAGAGTCTCATGGTAGTGAAGAGGCAAGCCCTGAGAGCTTGATTTCCACCTTCACATGAATTTTCCCCTTCGATAGAACTCAAGTCGCTGTTTGGATTTACCTTCTGAAATATCGTAAGTTGTTTTAATCATTTAGATAAAAAGAAGTGATCTCCCCTGCAGGAATGGGGTCTCTGTGTATGGGCTGCATGAATTTGTGTAGGACAATGTGAGAGCACATAGGAAGGGAATTAATGTTATTTCTGCAGAGATTCTGCAGACCTGTTACTGACTGGTGAGCCTAAGCAGCTGGAGTGAAATGTCAGATGGATTTGCCCAGCTGACTCAAGTTGCCGAAAAGAGAGGCGCATAATAGCTCCATAAATTGACCCTCTCCAGCCAAGCCCTGCTTAATATAGTTACGGCATGAGCTGAGCTGTAGTCACTCCTAGCAGCTCAGCAAGCACCACTGGGTGCTTTTCTTGGGGGAAAAAAAAATCGCTCAAGGTGGTGTTGACCTGGGACACCTGTTAAGTGGGGGAAACGTCTTGAGAGTTTTAAAAATATATATATATCTTCTTGATTTCTCCTTTTCTAGCAAGACAAAAATATAGAAAAACAATCATGTCAGAACATAGCAGGAATTCAGATCAAGAAGAACTCTTTGACGGGGAGATTGATGAAGATGAAATCTTGGCCAACTTGTCCCCAGAAGAGCTCAAAGAACTACAATCAGAAATGGAAGTCATGGCCCCTGACCCCAGGCTTCCCGTGGGAATGATTCAGAAGGATCAGACTGACAAGCCACCAACAGGAAACTTTGACCATAAATCTCTTGTTGATTATATGTATTGGCAAAAGGCGTCCAGACGCATGCTGGAAGACGAACGTGTTCCTGTCACCTTTGTGCCATCCGAGGTAACCGGGGATTTGTGTACGACGGAGAAATGCCTGCCTGGGCTGGGCTGGCACCTGTCCATGTTGTAACTGTCATTTCTCAAGACTCCTGTGTTTTGTCTTTTTTTTTTTTTTGCTATTTTTAGATTATGGCAGATGGAAACTTTCTAAAACACTTATATTGGTATAATTGGGAGGAAAAAGTGGTCCTTTCTTTTAAATATCTCTTTTAAAAATTGCTATGGCGGTTGTGGTGCAGGAAAGCCTGTACTCTGTAGACATGATGCTTAATGAATTAACTCATAACCCAGAAACATTTGTCCTACATGTTTTTTTTTTGGCTCACAGGACCCCTTAAGAGGCTGAAGCAAACTTTGTGTCCTCTCCTTCGGGTACATGCCAAGATATGCAATATTTCACATACAGTCTCAAAAGTGTCACAGTCCCCTGAAGTCCAGCCACACACCCTGCAATGAAACCCAAGTGAAAGAACTGAAAAAAAAATCCCTCATTACCACAGTGCGTTGGCTAACAGTGATGAATTTTGAAATTGATGAATTAAGGTGTTTTAAAGATAGTGCTTTCTTTAATTACGTTTCTTAACATGAAAACTAGAATTGTGGTTCAATCTATGAACTTGTGCATTAGCATAATTTTTTAATGTTTCACTTAAAAATGACTTAGCAAAAAGAAGACAGAGATCCCGGCAGGTAAAGTCTCTTTTAGTTACGCCTCCTGATACAGATAACATTCTTGCCACATTACTATCATGCTGGCTGTAATTTAAGGAAAGCTGTAAACTGGTTTCATGGTCAGGAGGGTTTAAACATGTATTGCACTCAAGAAAATAAGTTGCTGGCTTGATCAGTTTAGAGTGTCAGGTACAATTTTCAGACATTTTACAACTAGATTAAAAGCCAATTCTGTATGAACACCAACTTCAGAGTAAAAAAGAAAAAGGGTACTTTGAACACTTTTTCTTCCTTCAGAATACTTGAAACAGCTTGATGGTTGGCTCCCCCTACTGAGACAGATGAGAAATGCAGTGGTGAGGGCTGTAGGTAGTTAAGGTGTCTGTCAACTGTCATTTCCAACCTGTAATGTGCATAGCAGTAAAAATCAAGTTCATATTTTTTAATTTTAAGTTTATCTTTTTTTATTGAGATAACATTGGTTTATAACACTGTGTAAGTTTCATGTGTACATTATATTTCTACTTCTATATACCCAACAGCATGCTCACCACCAAAAATTTAGTTTCCATCTGCCACCATATAGTTGATCCCCTTCACCCATTTTGCCCTCCCCAAGATCAAGTTCTTGCTTGGATGAGCCTGTTTGTCAAACTACTATACCAGCTTTCAGAATGACACCTATGAGGTACACAAACTTTATAGGAAAGTGATGTGCAAACCCTAATAAACATTGATAAAAGACTTTTATTTTCCCTCCCAGACTAAGTAGTTGTTTCTGAATCTCTGATCATCTTGTCCCTTTTTGTAGCTGGCACTGCCTCCTAGACACTTTCCTTCCAAAGGAACTGGACCGGTAAGCCTGTTCCTAGATAATCCAGGGCAGTTTTCACAGAGCTGAGCAGACAAAATCAAAGTCAAGAGTTTGGGCATATTCCAAAATATCAAACTGCTCTCATTTTCCCCACAATATTTTCAGGGAAACTTGTTGTACACATTATATTAGATTGGCAAACATATTAGGCATGCAAATTTTGGTTAGGGCAATAAGGAAATTATTGTGTAACCCAGAGCTGTTGAATACAAAGATGCCTTTTCAGCTGTATACAAAACAAAGATTTCAATGAATGGATAGATAAGTGCATAAGGTTTTCAAAACAATTTTTAACTGTTTCTGGAATTGAACACCAGCTTCAAAAACAATAGGTCTGAAAACAAAATTAACTAGGTTTCATTTTAATACATGGGATGAGATGAACACAGCCAAAAACTTGTGCATTTGTGCATGTGTGTGCCTATAAAACTTTATTTTGATTGTATTTGTTTGCAAAACTAATATGTATACTTTGTTTAAAAAAAAACCCTCAAAAACAGTCTAGAATTATATGATGTAAAAAGTGGAAATCCCCCCATTTCTTCCGTTCATCAGTTATCTTAATGGTTACTTCTCATCCTCAGAGGTAACTACTAATTTAGTAAACATTACAATAGTCTTTGTTTCCTATACATTTATTAACTTATGTGTGTGTGTATATATGTATGTGTATAAATACACATAGATACAAATGGAATACTATAAATGCAGCTTACTTGCTTACTTTTTTTCATTTAGTCCTAAATCTTTTTATAATCTCCCATAGATACTGCTCTACTTCATATTTGTTCGTGGCTATGTATTCTAACCCTCCTAAACGTCTCTTTTAGGAAAATACTGAAGAGGTACGTGAAAAAATAGACAAAGGCAATAAAAATGTGTCCCAGTATTTAAAAGAAAAGCTTAATAATGAAATTGCTGCACTTAGAAGAAAATCAAAGGACAGCAATGATGCTGAAGAAACAAATGATGATGATGATGAAGATGATGGAGATGAAGAAGATGAGGGAGAAGACAACAGCACAGAGAGTGACGAGAAAACCAAAAGAGAAGAGGAAGGCGAAGTGAAGGAGCAAATCACAAATGGCGAGAACAGCTGCCAACAGGTGACTAATAAAGCGTTTGAAGAACAGAAAGACAGACCCGAACCCCAAGAAAAAACTGAGAAAAAGATATCAAAATTAGATCCCAAGAAATTAGCTCTAGATACCAGTTTTTTGAAGGTAAGTGCAAGGCCTTCAGGAAACCAAACGGACCTGGATGGGAGCTTGAGGCGAGTGAGACAAAATGACCCTGACATGAAGGAACTCAACCTGAACAACATTGAAAACATCCCCAGGGAAATGTTACTGGACTTTGTCAACGCGATGAAGAAAAACAAACACATCAAAACCTTCAGCTTAGCGAACGTGGGTGCGGATGAGAGCGTAGCATTCGCCTTGGCCAACATGTTGCGTGAAAATAGGAGCATTACCACTCTCAACATTGAGTCCAATTTCATCACAGGCAAGGGCATCGTGGCCATCATGCGGTGTCTCCAGTTCAATGAGACACTAACCGAACTTCGGTTTCACAATCAAAGGCACATGTTGGGCCACCATGCTGAAATGGAAATATCCAGGCTCTTGAAGGCAAATAACACTCTCTTGAAGATGGGCTACCATTTTGAGCTTCCAGGTCCCAGAATGGTGGTAACCAATCTGCTCACCAGGAATCAGGATAAACAAAGGCAGAAAAGACAAGAAGAGCAAAAACAGCAGCAACTCAAAGAGCAGAGGAGGTTAATAGCCATGTTGGAGAAAGGGCTGGGGCTGCCACCTGGGATGTGGGAGAGGCTGGGAGGACCAATGCCCGACTCTCGGATGCAGGAGTTCCTCCAGCCTCCTCCTCCTCCTCCTCCTCGACCTCCCAACCCCCAAGCGGTCCCCTTCAGTCGGCGAAATGAAGTGGCGAAAAAGCCATCGCAGGCTCCGCAGTACAGGACGGACCCCGACTCCTTCCGAATGGTGAAGCTGAAGAGGATCCAGCGCAAATCCCGGATGCCAGAAGCCAGAGAACCACCCGAGAAAACCAACCTCAAAGACGTGATCAAAACGCTCAAACCGGTGCCGAGAAACAGGCCACCCCCGTTGGTGGAAATCACCCCCAGAGATCAGCTCTTGAACGACATTCGTCACAGCAACGTCGCCTACCTGAAACCTGTAAGTAGGAGGAAGGAGACATGGTGAACACACAGCACAATTGACAGCTCCTAACTGGGAGATTCTAATTGTGACTAACTGAGGAAAACCCACCAGCATTACCATAGATCTAAATTGCTGGTCATCCCCAAAGGCATGTCTTTCTAACTTCCGTAACAGTGATACTAACAGCTAACGTGTATTGAGCGCTGATGATGGACCAGATTCACTATGAATTATCGCGGATTATATAGTGTTATATACCTAACCCTGTAAGGTAGGTGTTATTATTCTCACTGTTAAATAAGAAGGAAACTGAGGATTAGAGACGTGAAATAACATATGCAGGAGGAACAGCTTGGAAGAGGTAGAGCTGACGTTGATGTTCAGTTCTGAGTCCTGGATCAAGCTTTCACTCACCCCATCCACACAGAGCAGACCAGCAGAGATCCCCAGGGAGCCTGCTGCAGAAGTAAATAAGCATGAGGTCCAAGGGGGCTAGTTGTTTGTGGGCAAGGGCTCCCATTGTGCTTTCAAAACAGCTGGTTCTTTTGCAGCAGATGGATGGAGACTACCTGCCATGGCAATCAGACTCTTTTTTTAAGGTGGGCGGACAAATAATGAACCACAGGTTTGCATCTCCAGGAATGAACGGAGCCGTAATTCACTATTTCATTTTCATATTTCCTGTGATTCGCAATTACTGCTGCTGTTAGAGGAACATCTTGTATTCCTTGCAGCTTAAATTATACAAATGCATTTTTGTATGGTCATCACTGTGACGGCATTGATAGAGGCTGAAAGGTGTGTGTCTGGAGGCCACGGTTGATAATTAACTGTGTTATTTTTAAATCTAGTGTGGAATTTAGCCAAGGTATTACGTTGGCAAAAGAGTACATTATTTCATCATATAGAGTCATAGTTTTTTCAAGATGTTTTAAACACATTCCTATGTAAGCTTGTTTTTCTGCTTTTAAGAGCTTTATATTCTAAAATAATATAACTTACTTATTCACATGTATACATATGGATGTCCCATTTTCCCATCTCCTAGTAATACAGAATTGACAATATTCCATCCTTCTACATCGAAGATGACTTCCAGCCCTTTCAACTGTGATTTAAAGGGACTCTGATTCTCCCTGGGGCAGGGACCAGGGTGAGAGCTCTAGAGGTCACATGAAATCAGGCGAGGGTTCTTTGCCCGCCCTTGGGCACAACATCAAGACCTTCTGCACCTGCTCCTCTCCCAGCAGTCAGACCTCTGTAGGGGGTGGATCGGGGTGTTGTTTTGAAAGAAGCTAGCGCTCTCACTCAGTAACCTGTCACCAAAGCAAATGCAGAGTCAGAAAATAACATGAGTCTGAAAGGAATAAAAAGCCGTCTTTCAAAAATCTGCCTTAAAGACTGCATGTGGATTCAGCATAGAAGAGAGAATGAAGTTTAAGTGGTCATCTGACCCAAGACCCTGCCTCCTGGGGGAATGTTCTACTGAGCAAATCTGCTTTCCCTGGGATCTGCTGCTTTTCATCCATCCACTTACTTATCACTGCAATAAACACTTGTGTAGTGTTGCCACGTGTCGGGCACTATCAGAGGGTCAGGGATACAGCGGTGAACAAGACAGGTATAGTCTTAAACTCATGGAGCTTACAGTGTTGGTTTTAGAGTTTTCATGGTCAAGACACTGCTTTTTAGTTAACTGAGAACACCTGCTTTGAGTCCAGATTCTAGAGCAAAAGACATTAAAATAAATTCATGATGATAATGACCAAAATGACACACCCTAGGTAGTACTACATTTTCTATTTTCAGTCAGCTCTAAAGCGCTATCAGTTTTGTATTTTGTTTTTAACGTCCCCTAAGAAAGAATAACAGGCTGCGGATAAACTCTGACATGGGTTGTGGATGGTGGTCTTGCATGTCAGCCTCTGCTTTGAAATGTCTTTGATCTATTCCAAGGGGCTGGTGTTTTCTCCTGCTGTCAGTTGCCTGGCTTGGCCTGCAATAGGCACCTCTTTGCATGTATCTCACATACAGAATGTTACACAACTTCATCTGCGTGGTCCTGTAAAATGCTCTGCAAGGAAAATGTGAAAATGCATCGTCGCGCTGACAAAAATGTCACTGCACTAATGTCAGTTTGCTCCCTATTGCTATGTCTTGGCGCCTCGCTGCATACATAATGAATGTCTGCTTTAATGCCGAATCAGAGTGTAATCTTTTAAAAGGCATTTTTAAAATCATTTTTATTTTGAAATCATTTGAGACGTGCGGAAGTTCAAAAGAGTACGGAGGATCTTTAAACACCCATCACATTCTGTCACATTTGCTCTGTTGTTCTTTAGAGGGTATTTTAAATGACAGTACGTCTGCACGTGTGTAGGTCCAACAGGACACCGAGCTCAACAAAAAGTCTTAACAATGTGAAAAGCTACAATGTGTTCATGCACACACCTGCAGCCGGCTGTTGTAAAACCTTGTTGACTGTAGGATACTTTCTGATTTGGGACCATGGAAACATAAAAAAAAATGCACGTCTTAGACTCGTAAAATACTGTGAACACCATCCGTGGTGATATCACAAGATCCCATCAGAAAGGGCTACTTTTAGCCAGTCAACCATCACTTTAGGGAAGTAAAACTAAAGATTTATTGAGATTTTTTCCCCCCACTTGTGTTTTGGAGGACAGAGATGCTCTCCAAATCCCTGGATTTTCAAACATGAAGTTAAAATTAAAACCCAATTTGGAAATCTTGTAATTTTTTTTTAACTCATGCTCCTACCTAAAACATTGAATGTCCATAAACAGCCTTAGAAATTATTTATTCTTAGAAAACTTACAAAGGAAAAAAGGTTCTTTTTTTTTCTTTTTCCTCTCATGGACTTGGAAATCATACTTCTGTATTTTCTAGAGCATAGCTTATTAAGTAGTCAGTTTCTATTTTAAATTTTTACTTTTTTATTTTAATGTTTATTCTCTCCACCTCCCATGCTTCTGGCTTGGGATCCCTGAAATGAGGTTTCTGGCAAAGTATGAAGGAAAGTCTGTATACTTACTTGGCTCAAAAGCTCCCTCCTCCAAGAAGCTGCACATTTAATTCAGTGTAAGAGAGAGGTGTACTGTGGACCAGATATTGAAAACTAGTGCATTATAAGCCCTCGATCTGCAGGCCTATTTTGTGTGGCTTGAGTATTATTGTACAAGTTATAAAATTTCACATAATAACATCCAGATACCTGGCGGCACTTGAAACATCAGATTCAGCTGGCATTTGCGTAGCACAAATCAGTGGGGTCAGTGTGTTGGCTCCTCCCTTAGGATAGATAATGGACCGTCCATTTTTCCTGTCTCCACCATGCCCTACTGCCTAATACCTGGCCTTTTTCACTCATTTACATTACTTAGTTGACTCCTGTAGAATTTTGTAGTTTGTTTTGTTGCTTTTATTGTTTTTAGCTATGTTTTAAAAGTCTTTGTCTTATCCAGCAAACAATTTATTAGGGGATCGCTGATTCATTTCCCTGTGAGTTGATAGAAACTCTGAGTCAATGTGATGCCAGCCCAAGATAAACACATTAGGTTTGTGCAGGTTGATCCATCCCCAGTAAATGTGTGATTTCCTTTCCTCTTTAAAAGTTTCGTGGTCCGCTCACTGCCTACCATCCCAGATGAGTATTTGTACTTTTCACTGAGATAAAAATCTCGTCTGCAGCAAGTGTTTGATTCCCTGAGGCCAACTGCATTTCTGTCATAGGCAACCACTGGTGCCAATCAAACAAAATAACTATTTTTTTTTAACATAGCCAATATATACATATCTTTTTAAATGGCTCCAATATGGCTCCTTATCACAAAAGGCACCAAACCATCCGTAGTGAATACTCTTCTGTAAATTTCCATTACCCCTCATTTGTGCCTCTGTTCCGGCATCTCCCACCTTGTGTCTCAAGTTGACAGCCCTTAGGGACACAGTGTAGGTCTCCTAGTGGATTCTGAGATCCTCAAGGCAGGTCTTCCTCATCTCTATCCTGGACATCCATTGAGGTGTTGACCCAGAGCAGGAGCTGAACTCGAGTGTGCCGAATTAAACAACCCGTGCTGGAGTGGATTTTCCCATCCTGCCCCATCACTCCCAGTCTGTGTGAGTGTAGGTGTATTTGTGCACCGTGTAATGCTATACACACACCCCCTTTAAAAAAAAACGAATTTTGACCAACAAGCGAAGGGGGAACAGGGCACCCTAACAATACTGCAAGTTGATTCTTGTTTGTTAAGTTTTGTGTTTTTATAACATCAAATCTAGCTGTCTTTTCCTTTATGGTTTCTCTTTTATGTCTGCTTACAAATGGCTTTTTTGAAGCTTTTAAAAAATATTTGTCTATCTTTCTTGCTGCTTTTATAGTTTTTGCTTTTTAAAAAAATATTATGTGTTATAGATGAAGTAAAGGATTTGATTTTGAAATTAGTAGAAAACAAGAAGCCCGCTTTTCTTCTGTTTCTTTGCCAAATAGCCAGCCAGTGATCATTTAGTGACTCTTGTTGTTTTTCCCAGTGATCTGAACTGCCATTTTGGTCATGTTTTAAATGCATCATTGTACCTCTAGCTTTACTATGTTGGGTCATTGCCATGTTTTGCTTTTTAAAGTATTTTTATTAATTTGGAACCCTTCCATGTATACAAACATACATCAGGAATAACATACTGTAAAAATGTTTTTTTCCACTCAACAATACAAAGAACACAGTTTTGACTGTTTTTGCAGCATTGCAGTTATTTTAAATAACTGGCATTATATAGTTGGCTGATTAGGGTTCTTCCACTGCTGATGTTTCCCGTGGGTGAGCCCTAGCAGATTACAGTCACGGCCCCCTGCCCTCCTGAAAGTTTGGCACTAGGTGGGGAGAGAGAATCACAGGGAAGACCCTCTTGTTTGAAGCTTATGCAGGCAGCAGCAATGCATCAAAGTTTCTCTTCAATGGGCAGGATGTTGAGAAACCTTTTTAGCCAAAAGTTATAGTCAGAGAACTGGCTAAAGGGGGCTCCTAGCGGATGGCCAGAATGGTTCATCACATTAACACTGGGCATGGGCAATAGAAGGAGAGACATTATGGGTCCTTATTATACAAACTCTGAGTGTCCTTTGGACTTTGTCAGCATTCTCTGAAAGTACATCCTTGATGGATGAGTCATCCTCCTAAGATACAACACCGCTTTAAACTCGTAAAGAACTTGCCTTATTTTTAAGTTGTTCCCATTCAACACAGCTCAAAGTTGATTTGCAGTCAGACTTACGCTACTCTTTTGTTATTTTTTGCTCTTGGGGTTTCCTCAAATATTTTATTTTAAAATTTAGTGAGTATCATATTAGGGATGTGCTTCAAAGAGGAAAGACCAGTTTTAAAAGATCATCTATATTCTTAACGGTGGTATTTATTTGGTGGTTGAGGCATGAGTACTGAAATCAGGCAGATCTGGGTTCACATCCTGCTCTGCCAGTTCCTAGCGCTGTGACCTGAAGCAGGTTGCTTACTCTTTCTGAGAGTGTTTCCTCTTTACAAGGTGTTTGGAAGATGAAATGATAAAATGCTTCAAAAGTAAGTGTTAAAAAAAAGATTATACTGAAGATCCCAACCAGTGAAATAAGCTAAATAAAATAAAGGGCATAAATATTAGGGAAGAAAAAGTGTCAACACTGATTAGTAACTTGTATTACTTAATCCTTATGGGAGCGTTGTGAATAAGATACCGTTACAGTTGCTTCATAGCTGAGAAAAATTGATGCCCAACACCATGCAGCCAGTAAGAGCTAGTACCCGGCTTTGAACCAGGCAGACGCCAGCACCTGCCCTCTGGTTTGTATAATAAGCTTCATCATGTGCTCAGAGCCCATGGCTGTCCCTGTCATCCGTAAACGCCCAATTCATGGTGGCTGTGGTTATTAGTGTTGTTTTATCATGGTTTAGGGGGCAGCTCTCTGGCTAGAATTTCTAATCCATTTTATACCCTTTGAGGCATGTACATTTTGTCATTTTTGCTGTAAAACGCTTGAATATCTAGGATTAATTTTTCTCCTTTTTTTCCCCAATGCTTAAATCGCAGGTGCCACTGCCAAAAGAACTGGCATGAGAGGCAACAGAATAATCTCGAAGAACAAGGAAGTGATTTAATTAAATGACTCTCGGACTAGAGCCTGGAGACTATCTGAGCAGCATACTTCTGGATCCAGGTGGTGGAACTGGGAACAATGCTAACATCTGACAGGAGTATTTTGTAAAAGGCAGAGTGCTTGGCCCCTGACAAAATAGGGGCTGAAAATGCAGGGGGAAGGAGAAAAACATACCAGTCTTCAGGGCAACATTTTCTACTTCCCATCAGTTTGAGTGACTTAGGTGAACTTGAGGGTCTTCCAGTAGAAGGTAAAAAAATAATTTTTTTTTCTTCATCAACATTGGCTTTACTATTACTTTCTTCTGATAAATAACAATAAATACTATAGAAGTGTTAACTATTGTATTCCCATGTTTTCTCCTTCCATCTACTCTGCTGTAATTGATCACACAGGATCTTAAAGGGAGCAAAACATGTGTCACTGTGTAAATGTGAAGGGTGATTTGAACTCCAGGCCCTTCGGATGCTTTGAAATGGAAAAATGGTTCATTAACTCTTCTCTGGAGAATCAGTTGCAATTTCCAGTTTCCAGCCAGGCCGAGCTTTCTGTTTTGGCCATTCCCCTGCTGTGTCGGGAAATACATTTCTGATAGCGGTAACTGTGAAGAGCAGGACACTTAAGTCACAGGATGTGGCGAAAACAGTGTTTCCAGAAAAAGCAAGGGGGAAAACAAACCCTGCAGATACATGAAAGCATCCCTGTTTCCATACATACAGAGACAATGGGTGATAGCATGCTAGTTTTGTTGAAAAAAAAAACCAACCAAAATTTATGAGTAATGTATTTATTGAGAAGCTTTTGCTTTTAGCTGAGTACATCTATTTTTTAAAAGTTTAATCTGTAATGATCGTGATCTTATTCTTCTCAAAAAATCTTCTAAAGGAAACTTGCTATAGGATTAAATCTAAGTTCCTTATCCTATCATTGAAGGCCCTCCATTGCCTGGTCTCCATTTAGTAACTCAGTCTTATTTGCCGTGAATTCTCTGTACTATTTTTAATAAAACATCCTCATGCTTTTGCTCTCATTAACTCTCCTAGAGAATGCCCTGAGAGACTCCACCGAAGTCTTCCAGACAACTCCAGCCCCGGTGTCCTTTCTACCTTCCGAGTTCCCAGGGCCTTTAATTACCCGAGCTAGTCACTGGGTGCAGAGAATCTGAAATTTTGTACAGAAGTGGCATGAGCCCTAGAAGTCAGGAAATCACACTTTGTTGCCTTTTCCTTCTTCCATACCTGAGCAAATAATTGGCACCTACCTGCCTTCCTTCTTTTATATAATCAAAGGTGGTACATCACAGGCAAAGCAGGCTAGGAGAGAATGGATTTAATGGGGACAAACTTAATAACGTTATTTGGAAGGGCAGGCCATGGGGAAGAAGTATGGTGCTTCTATTTTTTAAAGATAATTCAGTGGGTACAAAAGTATCCAAATTTAAATAGTTAATAGTCTTCAATCAAGTAAGTAATTTTAGATAGCCAGAGACTGAGTTTGGTGTTCCCCTACGTGACTACTTCTATAAAACATCCTTGGATACAAAGCCAGTTTTAAAAGGGCTGCGATAAATAAAATGTCTTAAGTATCTGTCATATTCTACATTTCTGAGCCTGAATTCTGATGGGACAAAGGACTCGAAACGTGTTTAAAAGCTTACTGTATATTAGTACTTGAAGTTCTAGAAAACCCTATGCATTTGCTTACTCAGCAAAGTACTGATAGATAAGTCAGGAATTTCAAAAAGCATTAATAGTCCTCAAAGAAGACTTTAATCTTAGATGTGCAAAAGAAAAGATGATTCAGGTTCATATTTACCACCTCAAAACACAGGTTTTGTCAAGTGACAAGTGAAGTCACTCACATTATGCTTTTCTATTCATCCACTCCCAGCCTAAAAATCTTAGTTGAAAATTTTACCTTGTTTTTAAAATGAAATCATTTATAGCATTTCCATGCTAGATTTTCTATTATAATCCTTCCAGAATTGACCCTGAGCCATTAGTAATTATAATGAGTATATATTTTTAATGTGCCTTGTCACTTTCTCCAATTTATTGCGGTTAGTCTGCAGAATTCACCACGTAGAAAATGAGTCTAAAATATGTATAAACCCTTGTCAGGTTTAAAAAAAGGATCCCATTAGAATTCAATTTTATTCTGGCTGGAAATTAATAAAGTAAGAACGTTTTATCAAACAGTATTTGAAACACAAGCCGAGTGTTTCGGGCTGCACAGAACATCCTTATTGTTTATAAGGTTGTCACTGAGTTTCTCAGACATTTAATAGAGACGTACAGTAAATAAAGTCTCACCCCTCAAAAAAAACTTTGATAAATTTTATTCTTCATATGTGGGGAAGGGTACATGTTCTAGACCATGTGATGTCACTGTGCTAGAGATGAACGCTGCAGGTTGGCTGAGAAATGAAAATGCAAGAAAAACCAGGAGCAGCACAGGCATTGCTTCTAATTCCAGGACACAGAGTCTCTTCAGTAAGTACTGTTCCAACTGTCTTCATAATTCAGTGCTAGGGAAGCCTAAATATTTTCTATTCATCTATGAAATCACTCAATTGGCAAGCAAGACATTTTGTATAATCTATTCCTAAATACATGGGAAGTCAAAGGAAGAAAATAACAGAAAATACAAACTCATGCTACCTGAATTCTAATGTCTGTCTATAAAAACACATAGTTGTGCCAAGTGCTATTTAAAATTTGTATGAACTGCAGAAGCCGGTGATCATTCCCATTTTCATTCCCATTTTTAAAAGTCTTTATGCTTGGTCATCTAAAGATGCTTTTCAGATTTTAAAAGATCAGCTGTGACTGCCTTCCTTGTGCCCACTAGGGAATTAATAAAAACGCACATTCATTTGCTTCTTTCTAAATGTTCCAGTTAAAAAACTAAACAGTGAAAAAAAAAAGGGGGGGGAGCAACATTATCTTGGACACCTTTTATCATTAGAACAACAAAATCTGTGCAATAGAAACAGAACTCAACTTTTATTTTGGTTTTTTGTCTATTTTTTTAAACAAGACTATCAAGAAAAATACATGTCACAAAAGCTGTAACCTCCTGAAAGATACTTAGTTCGCAACAAATGCCTGCTAGTGAACACACAAACACACATTACTAGCATTTCAAAAATTTACAAAAAGTTGACAAAACCGTCTCCTCAACAGCTATCTTTGTACCTGTAAACAAAATATAAACAACTGGTTTATTCAACTTCCACTGCACATCAAACAGGAGCAAAGTGATAGAGATCATCTTTGAATTTAAAAGAATCATGATAAAAACTAAGCTAATTTATGCCCTACATATTATAATGCTAGGGAATATTTTTGGAGGAAGATGCTGGGGGGATTAAAACAGGCTAATGCATGACATCACGTACTTGAAGAGTCTTTTCCTTTCCTCATCTTGCCTGGATACTTTACAGTTATTTTGTTTTCCTACAAGATAACCGTATTGTTGCCATCCAGTCCGTGATTCATTGATTTTTTTTTTTTTTACTCCCCTTAAGAAATAGGTCTGATCCTTTTCCTATCAAGCTTTCATATACACACTTGAAACTTCAGACATAACAGGAGGGCGGTTTCTTTTGGTTTCTGAGGGCTTCCTGCTGTAACATCAGAGATGTTGGCAGCGTGGCCCCCACCTGCATGCTGCCCCAGAGAGTCGGATGTGGTGCGTGCACCTCCTGTTTCAAAAAACACAAACGGAAAGTAGGTCTGGACAAGGGCAAACTGCAACTCGATTTCTGCTGCCTTCCCATCACTGGGTCAGCTCTAAATTTACTCCTTCACTTTACTGATGTAGTCGGTGAATTTGCTGATGTTTTCCTCCTGCTGTTCTAGGGCATCCAGGACGATGCCCATGGGCGTCCTCTTCAGACCGATTCCCTCCATTTTATTCTCCAGTTTGTTCTTGAGGTTCCGGAGTCTCAGCGACGCGTGGATAAACATCACTACAGGGAAGTCAAACAGGGTTAGCAACTGAGCAGCGGTTCTCTCCCTCCCTCCTCACTTTTAGTAAAAGCTGCCTCCGTTAGCTACAGTCCAGGCTGGTCCTCTAATCGATCCAAGTCCCCGCCTGGCTCCTCGGACTTTGTACAAAGCCCTTTGTCAAGTCATGAAGTTTTCTTCCTGTGTGAGGGAAAGGGGTGGATTCTGCAGGAAGGACCATAACCTGGCAGCCACACCCTTTCCTTCCCATATTGACATCCTTACCTTCCGGATGCTACTTAAATGCCCTGAAATTCAAAGCGTATTAACGTGATTCCAACCTACGTAAAAATCGACTTAACATTTAAATTTTCCAGAAAAGAACCCCTGCACAGGTCAGGGATTAACTGTATTTTGTTCCCTGCAGAAGGCATGCAGGTGAAGTCCCCGTAGAAGTGCCTCCTATGGAGCAGTTCTCCAGAGTGTTGGATAGAAATTTCTAGATGGTCCTTGTGCAACCTGGTGTTCCCCCAAATTTGCCTGATCATTAAGAATTATTTGAGTTTGTTTATGGTAAAGAATCGGATTCCCCGGCCCCTCTCCAGGACCTGCTGAATCAGAACCTTAAATGGAAGGGTCTGAGAGTCTGCAGTTTAGATAGACACCCTGAGTGGTCTACACCAGCGATCTGCACGCTTCTGTGTACACGCAAGTCACCTGGAGAGCCTGTTAAATGAGCAAATTTCCAGTGTCCACCAACCAAAATTTAGACTGCTGAGACTGAGGTGGGGCTCCAGAATGTTATATTTCAGTAATCACTGTGGATGATTCTGATGTAGGGGATTTCTGGACCCTCATTTGTGAGAAGCACTGATGTGCATTCTGTCTGGAGGCTCCCAGTCTAGAGTGGTCATTAAAAACATCTAACGGGCTTTCTAAAAATACAGGTTCTCTGGGCACTACACTCGACCCACAGAATCAAGAGATCCCCAAAGGCTGCGGCTGGGACATTTACATTTTTAAAAATCATCCTGGATGATTCTCACATTCAGCAAAGTTTGGGAATTACTGATCTTGTCTAATTTCCTTATTTTATAGATGCGTGAACTACAGCCCTTACAGGATAACTGGTCCAAATCACATGGCTGCTTTCCAGCAGGGCTAGGAATACAAACCTGGACCCTTGGCTCTCCACCTATGATACATTTCCTTACCCTGGCCTGTGTTTTTATAAGCTCTGTGTTTAAGCAGCATCATTGAAATACTACGTCTCTAGCACATAAGGAGAACCTGAGGAGTGTCTCAAAAGAGTCTGAATTTGCTGATTCAAATATTTTATGCAATAAGGTATGGGATTTATACATAAATATTCTGGGCTTAACCCAACAAAACCCTAAACAGGCAACTGATTTTATTTAATGGAATAAATGCACACGTGAAAATGCTATTAAAAGTTAAGGGGATGTTCCTGTCATGTAATACACTGTAATTTTAATCAGATTTCTGCTGATGAGACCGGGATTTTATCTGTTCTCTGTTTCAGGCTTCACGTGTTCGGGAATCTCAGTAAGCAATGCGTGTCAAGTATAGAGAATGTCCTAGTTCTCATCACCAGAACTGAAGTCCTTGGTCTCTATATTCTGGGCCAACTCTTCCTATAGACTTAAGGGAACTTCCAACACTAATTATGATCTTCTAGGTAAGTAGAGAGTAAACAGCTTATTTCCAGATGAAATACATTCATGTCTGCGGCGGGACAGTATGACCAGCACTTAAGAGTTGAGAACCCACTCTGATAACGGACACACATGGGGTCCAGTGCAGGTTTTGTCACCTTCCTGCTTTATGACTTGGGGTCCTTATTTGTTTTGTTTACTGTTATGTCCCCAGGAGAGTGGCACAGAGGAGGCGCCCAAGACATATGCGTGCAATTAATAGGCCATTAGGCCTTGATCTGCTGTTTCAGAAAATTCTGATACTTCAGGTCTGATTTTGCAGACCTGCCAACACACCTCAGAAACAGGTTAGGTAATTCTCACCGAACGATCGATCCGATGCTTTATATGATAGAAGGAAAGGAAGACTCAGGGTCACTTACACAGCAAAGGAAAAGTGATGCCAAACACAAAGACCATGACTCCCCCAAACATGGATATGAGGAAGTAGCTGGCCAGCATGACCACCATGACGAACGCCGTGGGGTACTGCTTCTTCATCCGGCGCAGGATGTCCTTATTGTGGGCTGCCCACACGAAGCCCGTGAACACCAGCACCACCACGATGCCTCCAAGGATCATGTTGAAGGGGCTCAGGAACCTGGGATATGAAAAAAGAGGGCGCCTAGGTCAGGAGGAGGAAAATGAGGCAGAGGAGGAGGGGTGGCAACAAAGAACTTACTAAGCCCTTTATCTGAACCGTCTCATTTAATCCTCATAACTTGATGAGGCAGATGCTATTCACTCACTTCTCAAAGGCACAAACTTAAGCACTCAGAGGTTAGAAAATGGTGGAGCGAAGTATTCACACCAGGGCAAGTGTGACTCCCACCAGACTCACCAGTCCGTCCTGTAAAGTCCATCATTTTAAAAGGCTAGAGCCCCTCTTCTGGATGGGCTGTGTTTAGCTTTTATACATCCTGGGCTCTAAGACACATTAGATTGTATTTTCTGAGCTCTAAGGGCTTATTTAAATCCTCCTAGAAGCTGCCATGAGAGATGAATGTAGAGTCCCAGTCACTCAGTGGGCTTCATGGGCCAGATCCAGTCTCCAGGCACATCTGTTGTTTGACTGTACAGTAATTTAAAAAACAAGGGGGAGTGTTTATCTCAAGTGGTAGAGTGCATGCATGAAGTCCTGGGTTCAATCCCAGTACCTCCTCTAAAAATGAATTAAACAAACAAACCAACCAACCTAATTACCCCCCCAAAATTAAAAAATAAATAAAATTAAAAAAAATTTTTTACTTGAATCCCAGTGTGTTTAAAAAAATTCATCAAACTTGGGATTCTTTGCTTCACCTGGAAACAAGAAAATTTAACACAATTAGGCGCACTCTTCTATGTCAGCCGCTGGCTGGAGTGCCTTCTCATTCAGATAGAATAATGCTCTCCCCTTGGCCTGGGCCCCCACCACCATCTTCAGCATCTCTGACACAGAGGCCCCAGTGAGCTACCGTTAATAATTATTTTTATTTTTCTAACAGCTGCTCTGTCATGCTCTCTTACATAATTTGCCCAGCCCATGGAGGCATTTGAGTTTATGACTCTTGGCATAGGGAGGCCATTAGAATTCTTTAAAAGGCCCAGAGTATCATTAGGAGATGGGTTTATCAACTGAGATTTCCAAGCACAGAACCTCCGGTTTCATTGTTACTGGAGCCAGAGGTGACACTACTGTTGATAAGGGGGCAAACACATTATGAGGAGGAAACTGAGATCAAGTGTTTCATAAGTGAGGGTGACTGGGCACTGCAGTCCTGCCCGTCCCCACCCCCAAACCCCCGTGTGTGCTAAATCCTTAAGGCGTTTGTGGTCAGCAGCTATGATGAATTACTAATGTTTTGCCCTCATAGAGGCTAATGAGCATTTTCCTTGGGAAGGACAAAGAGGGTCAGTGTTTTTTCAGCACATTCTGAATATCAACATGATTGATTTGGAAGATGGGATAATGAAAGGTGATGCCAAGAAATTCCTTTCTCTGAAACAGAACAGGTGAAGGATTCATACTCATGCTGGGATTCACATTTAGGATAACTAAGATGCATTTAAAAAATCCTTGCAAATTTTAGCTCTGATCCTGCCTCCTGAAACAAAAGCTATTTTAAATCGTTTCAAATAGGAGTGAAAGTATTGCATATCTCAATGGGTGAAATCAGGGACATAAGTAATGTCAAACTCCTTTGAAAAAGTTTAAAAATTTCTACTAAAATGCGTGGAATTAAACAGTGGTAAAAGTAGTAGCACATAACCTATAATTAAACCTGAAAATAATAAGTTGCTTATTTCATTCAAAACTCTTGCCAATACCTATACCCTGCAGGGCAAAACTCTCCTCTTCAGAATAGTTTAAGGAAATGAATAAAAATGCAAAGACTGTATCGTAACAGTATTCTCATGAGTGATACTTATGATTAAAAACTTGTAGAAACGTCGTATATGGCCAGCAATTTACTACATGGTGACATATACAACTATTTTCAAAAAGTCAAAGTAGGGGGAAGGGCACAGCTCTCTGGTAGAGCATGTGCTTAGCATGCATGAGGTCCTGGGTTCAATCCCCAGTACCTACACTAAAGTAAATAAATAAACCTAATTACCTCCCCCCCAAAAAACAAAACAAAACAAAAATTAAAAAGCCAACGTATACTAAATAATTTGGGAAGACATTAACAATCTATTGACTGAGTAAAGCAACTATAATAATTCCTAAGTAGATTCATCATCTATGTTATATAACTCAGAAGTAGAAATTTTTACAATTAGCAAATGACTTTGTAATCAGAAATAAAATGAACATATACAAAATGAAATATAAAGGCAACTTCTCCCCAGCCCCACAGCCCAGGCTTGGGACAGGCCAACTGCAACAGTCCAGTCTTTCCTTGCATCGTCTCTCCAGTAACATTAATGCAATTTCTTTTATTTCTTTTTATTATTTTTTTGTTGAAGTATAGTCAGTTACAATGTGTAAGTTTCTGATGTACAGTATAACGTCCCAGTCATACATATACACATGCATATATTCGTTTTCATATTCTTTTTCATTAAAGGTTATTAGAAGAGCATTTGTGCAATTTCAGTTCACACGCCACAGCCAAGCTGCTCCTTCTCCCACCAGACCCTTGGTTTCCTGCCCATTCTCCAGATCCTCTTGTGACCAGTCTACACCACCCTCCCTCACCAAGCTTTCCCAACACCCAGCTCACCTGCTAGTCTGTCTGTCTTCCTCCTCCCTCAGTTCTTTTATTGTCTAGGTCTACTTAGTCTCTTGTTTCTTTTTTTTTTTCTTCTTTTCGTTTTTACAGTTTCATCTGGGTTACACCCTGTCTCCAGATTTAACCCCAGAATTGGTTTGGGAAAGATAAAAATTTCCATATAGGCCTGGGGAAGGGAAGGGTTGGACAGGGCCAAAAACAAAATCCTCTTTAGCAGGTGGTGGGAGGCTGAGTGGAGAGGCTGAGAATCTCTCACAGATTAATGCATTTCATTTCTAGCACCAAAAAGATTCTGAGAGAAATTATGCCAAAAGACTAGGGAAGTTCTGCTGGTAGTAGGATCATGAGTGGTTTATTCCCATTTGCTTATTTCTATTTTCCTATTTTTTTTCAATAGCCGTGTATTACTTGAAAATAAAAAACTGATATATAAAGATAAACAAAAGAAATTGGGGAACGTTGTGCGAAAGAAACTAACCCTTTCACATAGCGTTGATGTTGACAAAAGTAACAATAACTCGAAGAAGTAACGCAGAGGGTTCAAGTTTAGGGAGACTCCTAAAGCTGCAATAGGAGATGGTTAGTTGGCCGCAAAGTGTCAAAGGTCTCTGACTTAGTGCTTCCTAGAATACCTATTAAAATAATCATTCACGAGGTGGAGCGTATAATAAAATGCGAGCCAGGCTTCTTCTCTTTTCCTCAGGACAAGCTGAAGTAGACATCTAGGCTGAATGTCTATATAAAGTCCAGGACAAAGAACAATGAAAACTTCAGGCCTGACTCAAGCTAATTCCAAATTTGCTTTTCACCTGTTCCTGTTGCTCATGTTCAAGGGAAAAGAACAGAGCAAAGAGCCTGTGAGAACTGGTTTTCGCTTACAACACGCCCAGCCGCAGTCTATAATTAGAAAGTAACCAAAGTTCCAAGCTGGAAAAAATATGAACAAAGTTACCCGGAGCAGAAATGGTTTTCTTCCTCCCTCTGCTTAAGGGCGATTCCATTCTAAGAAAGGGTAAAATGCACACCAGTCCAATGCCCCGTCCCCTGCCTGCCCTTGGAGCAAAATTAAACACACAGACCATCCTCCAGAGGTTAATTTCATTTTCCAGGGAGGGCAGGAGTTGGGGAACCAGTTCTTGTTTGAGATGAGTAAAGCTTTTACTCAACAGTTGGGTTCTCAGTCAGGTCAGTTGCAACGAAGCCCAAGGGCCACGAGGACCAAACTGTCACAAATAAGCCACCCCCCGCCCCGCCTTCACATGGACAGCTGGCCTTGGGCCTGATGGATGCCATCTCATTTTTCGTAGTCGGTGAATGAGACAAAGGGAAGCAGGATGGTAGAGGGAAGGGAGAAGGAAAGAGGAGAGAGGGAAGGAGGGGGAGAAGGAAGAGGAAGGAGAGCGAGAGAGAGATTTTCAGTCTTTGATAGAAGGAGGACCTAGCTTTACAAATCAAAAACATTATGTTTTTTTCCTCTTGGGAGTCAAAAAATACATACCTACATACGTATGTATCCTATCTAATTAATAAGTAGAAGGATAGAGAAATATTTTAAAATTCTAGTGGCATCACTGACAGCTGGAAAGAGGCTTGGAATTCTATCACAGAATCCTGCGGCAGAGTCTTCAAAGATGAATTGGTCCAGTCCCATTACCCAGATGAATAAACTGAGGCCCAGAGAAGTGAAGAAACATATTCAAAAGGAGCCAGAGGAGAAAAAAAAATGGTGCCAGCAGATGTAATTGACAGCAGTTCACAATATAACCCATTCTGTGTGGTGAACCGGTTTTAGGGATTCCCTGCCTCAACCATTAGAGAACCCTTCTCTTCCAGTTCGGGTCAGCAACTCAGGATCATTCTGGGAAATCCCTTAGCATTTCCATTTCTCCCTAAAGGACGGTGGCTATGAGTGGGTGTGGGCATGGCCTAAAGCTGCCCACGTGACTCAGCTAGTTACAGCTATGGTTTCAGCACAAATCGCTAAAAGGAAAAAAAATCTTGGCCAACTGCAGATTATAGAGCTAAGATGGATCTTGAAAATACACCTCATTCTATATAAGCAAGGGAAAGAATGGAGAAGTTAATCAATTTGTCACAAGGCCACCAACTGCAGCATTGGTGATAAAAGTTTACCAAAACAGAGATCCCCAGATCAACTCAAGTGCTCACTTGGTAACGCCCAGCACACTGTAATGCTGGGCACGCTGTAATGCCAGCAAGAACCAAAGAGGCAGTGGAACATTTCCTGAGCAGTGGAAGCAGCTTTGCACTGAGTTCCAAGTTTCTAACCCCAAAAGCTCTTTTTGCAGGTTGGTTCCTGAGGAAGTCTGATTCACCAAGAAAGGGAGGGAACGGTTTACTCATAACAGACTTCTCTAAGTTG